TGGGAGGGGAGATGCTGCGGCAGCAGAAGCCGCGATTCAATCTGGCTGCGGAAAAACAGTCCAAACCCTAAACCCTAAACCCTAAACCCTAAACCCTAGCCCGGGCATCCTTCGCCTGCGCCTAGCAGTCAGGGTTTAGGGTTTAGGGTTTGCAATTAGGGTTTACCGCAGCATATCTGCTGCCAGCTCTTTGTGGCTGCTGCAGTGCAGCAGCAGCCGCCCAAAGGCCCAGGGAATATAAACTAAAGCAGCAAGCGGCAGCGGGGCCCCTAGAGACAGTTGCAGCTGCAGCAGCAGCAGCAAACGGTAAAACCTGCAGCAGCAGCAGCAGCAGCAGCAGCAGCAGGAGTGGTGGCTGCAGCAACAGCAGCAGCAGCAGCAGGAGTGGTGGCTGCAGCAACAGCAGAAGCGGCAACGCGCGGCTGCATCTCGAGCAGCGACAGTTTCTGGAGCTGCTGCAGCAGCAACTGCAGCAGCTGCTGCTGCAGCAGCAACTGCAGCAGCTGTTGCTGCAGCAGCAAACTAACCAGCAGCCATAGCAGCTGCGAAAACACCAACAGCAGCAGCAGCTGCTGCTGCTGCAGCAACAAAGGGCACAGCAGCAGCATTAAGAACAACTGCGTCAGCAGTAGCAGCAATGGCTGCAGCAGCAAAAGCCTCTTGCTGAAGCAGAAGCAGCAGCAGCAACGGCTGCAGCAGCAGCAAGAGCTGCAGCAGCAACAGCAACAGCCCCTTGCAGCAGCAGCAGCACGCGGACAGAGAAGCAACGGCGATGCTTCTGCTGCTGTTGCTGCTGCTGGCCACTGGCTGCCGCTGCTGCTGCTGCAGCTGCTGCTGCTCGGAGTCAGTATCCGCTGCTGTTGCTGCCTCTGCTGCTGCTGCTGCAGCAGCAGCTGCTGCTGCTGCTGCTGCTGCAGCTGCTCTGTAAGATGCTGCTCACGTGGAATGCTTCAGCAAAGTCTCAGTAGACATGGCCCTCCTGCTGCTGCTTCTGCTGCTACTGTTCCTGCTGCTGCTGCTGCTGGGCAAAGTTTGCTGCTGCTGGTGCTGCTGTATCTTTGCGAATCTGACTACAGCAGCAGCAGCAGAAGCAGCATTGAGGTTTTTGTGCTGCTGCTGCACCAGCCGCAGCAGCTCTGTAGCGCTTCTTGCTGCTTCTATCCTCTCTCTCAACAGCTGCTGCTGCTGCTGCAGCAGCAGGGACCGAGAGAGGCGACTTTTACTCTCCCTGAGGGTCTGCTGCTGCTGCTGCTGCTGCTGCTGCTGTTGCTGCTGCTGCTGCTGCTGTTGCTGCTGCTGCGGCTGCAATGTCTCTTCAAGCGGCACTAGCAGCGACCCAAACGGCGTGCTGCTGCTGCTGCTGCTATATCTGCTGCTGCTGCTGCTGCTGCCGAAGCTGCAGCAGCTGCTGCTGCAGCTGCTGAAGCTGTTGCACCCAGGTTGGGGCTGCTGGACATTGTGCTGCAGGAGGCGAAGACAGAAAGCCTCAGCTGCTGTTGCTGCAGCCAGCAGCAGCAGCAGCAGCAGCAGCAGCAGCAGGGGCTGCTGCTGCTGCAGCCAAGACATAGTCCTCGGTTTTGTGTCTTTCCCAGGGTTGCATCGTTCGCAGCGCTTTGGGGCCTAGGATCTAGGGTTTAGGGTTTAGGGTTTAGGGTTTAGGGTTTAGGGCTTGGCTTTGGAAGCTGAGGAGCACTCGAGGTCACCGTCGATCTTCTCATCAAACCCTAAACCCTAAACCCTCCATCCTAAACCCTAAACCCTAGGCCCTAAACCCTTGAACCCGCCCTTTAATTAGGCACTTTCCCTCGAAAAGCTATCGGATAAAAGCTCAAACATTCTAGGGTTTAGGGTTTAGGGTTTAGGGTTTAGTGGCTCCTCCTGGGGGGCCCCGTGAGGCTCCCGTGGGGGCCCCCCAGGGGCCCCTCCCGAGCTGTATATACACTGAAAGCCGGTTATTCTCACTTAATTACTCATTTTTAATTTATTTTAGTTTTAATTTTTAATTAATTTTAATTTTAATTTTCAATTTTTTTCAAAAAATGAAAAAAATGAAGTCAGTGAGCCGTTTGGCTCTGCGCCGTTCGGATTTGTTGAAAAATGAATTTCTTTCTTTTCTCTGCAGTTTGTTTCTTCATTTATCAATTAATAATTAATTTTAATTATTATTTATTCATTTATTTATTTATTTATCTTTTATTTGATTCAAATCCGTCGATTTTATCTTTTGTTTCCCCGGCAGACTCGCAAGAGCATTTCGGGTGTACAGACACCTCAAGGTGTCTGTACACCCGAAAGAAGAAATGCAGTTGAAAAGTTTGCAACACAAAACAGCCAAAAAGAAATAAATAATTTAAAATAAAAATAATAATAAACTAAAATAATAAATAGCGGCTAATTAAGAAGAAATCTGTCTGAAAGCATCCGCGCTAAACCCTAAACCCTAAACCCTAAACCCTAAACCCTAATGAATCCAAAACAACTGAATAAACGCCAATCAAACTGGCGAATAACTGGCTTAATGAGCGCCGAATAAATACCCATTAATAAATCAAAAATGAATGAATAAACAAATAAATAAACAAATTTATTTATTTATTTATTTATTTATTAATATAGTTATTAATTTAAAAATAAAAAATTAACACAATCACAGAGGACCACAGGCCTAAAAAACAAAAATGAAAAAAATAAAATGCATAAAAAAAGGAAAAAGGGAAGGCTTGTTGTTGCTGTTGCGATATCTAATTAAATAATTAGATATTTATTTTAGTCAATTAATTAATTAATTAATTACTTAATTAATTAATTAATTAATTAATTACTTAATTAATTAATTAATTAATTAATTAAGTAATTGATTGATTGATTAATTAATTAATTAACTAATTAATTAACTAATTAATTAATTAATTAATTAATTAAGTAATTGATTGATTGATTAATTAATTAATTAACTAATTAATTAATTAATTAATTAATTAATTAATTAATTAATAAGTTAATTAGATAATTATTTAAGTAATCACTCACTTGATTAATTAATCAATTAATTAATTAATTAATTAATTAATTAAATAATTAGTTAATTAATCAATTAACTAATTGAGTAATTATTTAACTAATTAACTAGTTAGTTAATTAATTATTTAATTAACTAATTAATTTGTCAATTAATTAATTAATTAACTTTCCGAATTTTGGATATTCAAAAGTTTATTTATTTCTTTGGTTATTCATTTGTTTACTCGAACAGGCATTCAGCTAAAACAAACCCTAAACCCTAAACCCTAAACCCTAAACCCTAAACCCTGGAGGGTCGGAGAAACATGCGGCAAAATTAGTGCTGGAGGCGTCAATTCAAAACCCTAAACCCCAAACCCTAAACCCTAAACCCTAAACTCTAAACCCTAACTCTAAACCCTAAAGCCTAAACCCCAAACCCTGAACTCTAAACCCTAAAGCCTAAATGCCGGATGACAAATCGCTTAAAAAAGCAGTCCTGCGTACTCGCAGTGGAATCCCTTGGATTAAGGGTTTAGGGTTTAGGGTTTAGGGTTTAGAGTTTCGAAGCTGCAGCAGCACATAGGCTTGGTCTTTGTGCTGCAGCACTTGAGTCCCAGTCCACCCTGTAAACCCTAAACCCTAAACCCTAAACCCTAAACCCTAAACCCTAGGCCCTCGGCCTTCCCCGCGCGGCGCCGGAAGGAGCCGCGGCTGGGCGGGCCGCAGGGTTTAGGGTTTAGGGTTTAGGGTTTCGAGGAGGCTGAGCATTCTGTCTGCGTGCTGCTGCTGCAGCAGCTGCTGCGGCCCCAACTTCTCTTTTGCTGCTATTTGCATGCAGCAATCTATTCTTTCCACTGACAAGGAAAACCCTCTGCTGCTGAGGCAGCTAGCCACGTTTCTAGCTAGCGCTAGCTGCCGCCGCAGGTGCACAGGCACGTGCTGCTGCTGCTGCTGCTGCTGCTGCTGCTGCTGCTGCTGCTGCTGCTGCGCGGGCGGCTGCGCCGCTGCTGCCTCTTCGCTCCCAACGCTCGGCACGCTTATCCACAAGTAACCTGCACGCTCAAACCCTAAACCCTAAACCCTAAACCCTAAACCCTAAACCCTAAACCCAAACCCTAGGAGCGGTACAAAGCAGACGACGAACCACCGCTCCAGCGCAACACAGAGCTAAACCGTAAACCCCAAACCCTAAACCCTAAACACCAAACTCTAAACCCTAAACCCCAAACCCCAAACCCTAAACCCCAAACCCTAAACCCTAAACCCTAAACCCTCACCGTTGACCCCGAGAATGAGTTGCAGGCCGCACTTGAGAGAAGCAATGTGTCTGCTTTGTCTCTTTATCAGCTGCGGCGAAACCCTAAACCCTAAACCCTTGGAAAGTTTTCCATAGCGAGAATTGCGGGTGTGCAGCATTATGGTCCCGTCGCTCTGCAGCAAAACAAGGCTAGGGTTTAGGGTTTAGGGTTTAGGGTTTGGAGGCTCTAAGCCGGTGGCGAGGGCATGGGCTTTTGAACATGGAGAACAGGGTTTAGGGTTTAGACTTAGGGTTTACGGTTTTACACACAGACCATTTCCACATCCCGCTCAATTAGGGTTTAGGGTTTAGGGTTTAGGGTTTACGAGGGTTTTCTGGATTTCGCAGCAAAGCAAATCCGAGGGTTTGAACAAAACCCTCATGTCCAAAAGATCAGATTCACTCAGCGCCCACGGCCCAACGCC